AAAAAAAAAAAAAAAAAAAAAAAAAAAAAACAAAAAAACGTTTTTTTTTTTTCACTTGAAAAGCTTTCATTATTAACAGTTTAAACAGTAAACCAAATTAAACATTTTTTTTAATGGAAACCTATACCTCGCAGAATAGGGCTTACTTTCAGAAAACGGTCAATGATGAAAACACAAACAAGTATTCCAGTAGAGATTTCTAGTAAAGATCTTTGTATTCTGCATCAGTATTCTGAACATTGCTTCTGCGTTTAGACTTTTAAAAAGTCTATGAAAAAGTAAAAATTGAAGAATTTAAGGCACCAAAAATTGGTTTTTCAGCCAAAAAAATTCTTGAATAAATATCCGCCTGCAATATACAGAAAAAATCCGACGACTTCTTTCTCAAAACAGCTTAGCTTTCACTTTATTTGTTTAAAAGTAAAGTAAGTAAAATTTTATTTTATTTTTTGCTTGTACTGAGTGACATGCAGAGGCTTGCGGGTAGAGTTGTGATAAACTTTCACTTGATATTAAAAACTACATCAGTTTTTTGGCGGTATTTCATCAAAAAAAAATATGCTTAAAATTTTCTTAGCTTAACTGGCAGAAATGTGAATGGATAGAATTGAGAAGAAAAAAATTACAAGGGTTTGATAATAACTCGCAATGAATCATTTGTAATCATTTTTACAGTAAATGTTTTTAATTTTCTATATTGCTATTTGTTTTTATCTAATATTACCAACATTTTTCTGAAGCAAGTTTTATACTTTCCACTTAGCATTTAGTTAATATATGATTGAGACAGACCTGATCATTTCAACAGGTGAAGCAGCAATTTTTTTTTCAATGTTTTGGTGTTGGATTAACTTACACAACAGTGTAACTAGACATAAATTTCTAAGTTGTCACACATATACTTTTCGAAAAAAATTTTTTACTTAAGTAATAAGGAGCTTAGAGTATTGCATAGCAGATTTCCATAATACATTTACAAGTCACTGTTCACTGTTAAACTGATATAGCTGCAAGAAAACACTGTTCTTTTTTTAAAAAATCTGAATAGAAACCTTTGTTCAAGTATTATCTTCGGTTAATCTTATTTACAAATTTTTGTTTCACCAGCAGCCAGAATAGCAGTTCTATTTGAAAATAACATTGAAAGCAACGTTTAATAAAATGCCAGCACTGGAAAGAACTTAGCCTGTAGTACTGTCGACGGTGGATGAGAAATCATAGCACTTTTAATAGCTGCTTCTTTCACGATCTTTATAATTTTGCCTACATACTTTGGATACGTGGAAAGCAGTGATTTGACCTAAAAATACAAAACTTTTGTCACACCAACCGCTCTGAGCACTAAATAGTGTGCCTTCCTTATTCAGTGTTTTAAAAGAAGTGGATATGCACATTTTTAGTAAAAAAATTGCCATTACTAAAACTTACTTGGCTCTTTTCCTCTTTTATTGTAATTTGCATGTTACTTTTTATCCTAATTATTTGTTCTATTGCTGTAGTAACATTTGCAATAATTTCATTTGTTTTTTGCTCAACTTCTGCTGTAAACTGGTTCAGGTCACTTTTTAGCTTTCCAAACTGTTCCTGAAACAGAAAAATTGTTGCCGCTTTATTCAGATTTTAAGAAAACTAGTAAACGACTTTTTTTTGATTTTAAATTTTTTTTGTATATGACAACTTACTGAAAATTGTGTTCCCTGAGCTACAACCAGTTTGTTGAGTTTGTCATATTGTTGCTGTTTTGTAAGATCACGGTCGCTTAAAATTTTAATAGCTTTTTTGAAATCTTCTTCGGTCACGTTGGCGAAGAATGATGGCACTAGTGGAAGATATCCGCGGTCTAGTTTGTTTGCTGAAAAGAAAACAAGTTAATTTCGACCTGGAAAGCTGTAAATGTAAGCGTATGATAATGAACGCATTTTAGACGCGTTCATCTCATTTCTTTTCTATCTGCAAAAGAGTCTAAGAATCCTAATATTACCACGAAGCCTTTCAAATCGAAAATGTCTCTCGGCAGTTGCGGCAGCTACGACAGCAACTATGAAAAAGAGAAACTTTGCCATCTGTACAGAACACCGAGAGTTGAACAAGTCTTGTTGTTTTCAGCGACGAATATGTTCGATTTATATAGTGTTAAAGCGGCGCTGATCTTTCAATACCGACCTATGTGTTTCGGTTTTAAAAATGACTACAGCGAGAACAGTGCACTTTTCTGATTATAAAAAAAACTTACATGTTAGCTTAAGTTTTTATAATCAGAGAACATTGCAGTGATTGATATTTAATAGAAAATAAGTTATTACCTATCAACGTCACCGCAGAGTAAAAGTTCTAAAAAAGCAACATTTCATTGATGTTCTTTTTTCTACTTTTTTGCTGAACACTTGCAGAAGAGGTGTCAGAAGTAAGTACATTAATGTTTTACAATTTTGAAACTTTGTAAATACATTAATTTTTTGTAAAACTGTAATGTATTAATGATAATAAGTTCTGTGCTTATTTTCAATCTTAACAATAGAACATTTTCTGTACTACCTCAAAAATTTTTGATTTTTTTTCTGCTAGTTTTGTTTCAAAAACTAAATTTAAACAGGTCTTAAATCACAAGAATTATATAATTTATGCAATCTTTTTAATACGTTGTCTTTCTGAATATTGTATTATTTTAAAACCCAACTATTTTTTTTTTCAAAGACTGTTTTTATAAATTATTTTTGAAAATTTTTCAGTGAAAACATTTTTGATTTTTGCTGATTTACACAATATTTCAGCTATAGGTGCTGGTAAAGCATAGTTCCTCTTGAAAGTAAAGAATGTTAAAATCTGCACTTTTTGAAATCTTTCCTTTACTCGGTAAGACAGCTGTAATTTTTACTGATCTCTTGAACACTTGAATGGTTACTTTATTCTGCATTGAAGTTTTATACATTTGTATTTTTGTTGAGTGTCTGCAAACAGATCTTTGTAAGTAAAATTTGATAGTTGCACAAATTTTTTTTAGGTATCAGCTAGCTAACTAATTTAAATTAAAAGTGTAAAACAAAATAGTTTTTTTGAAATTCTTCTTCGTACAATAAATTTCAAATAGGATAAAATTTTCTAATCATACTTATTATATAGTTAACAGATCTTGAAAATTAAAGATTTTACAATTCTTATTGTTGCTGCTTTGAAGTTTTTTTGGATTAAATAAATTTCTTACTAAAAGAGAAAACAGTATTTTGCTTGAAAATTTATTAGTTTATTAATCATTATTTTTTAATTTGTAATTCACTTGAGTAAAGCCGTATTAATTTCTGAGAAATAATAGTGGTACAAATAGCAGAAAATTCCTCGAAATTTTTGACGACCAAAGTGAAAAAATAAATGAGGAAAATTTGCTTCATACGTGCCTTTCCTTTATGCTCTTAAGAGGTCAAAAAATCTGCACAACTGCCAGTTGAATTTTGGGTCAACTTTGCATTTTGTGCGCAGTTTGTCATTGGTTTAAAAATCTGCTTAGAATTTTTGTTCTTTAATCTGAGAACTA